CCAGGAGTTGGAGGTTGCTGTGAGCGTGATGCCATGGCACTCTACCCAGGGGGATAGCTTGAGGCTCCGTCTCAAAAAAAAAAAAAAAAAAAGTTTCATAAACTTATCCTAGAAAAAATGCTAAATACCTCACTGCTGAATACCACTATGGTTACCTATGAAGTATCTGCTTGGAAAGCTATACACTAACACCAGCACCTACTCCATCCTTCAAAACAATTTTGGAACTTTTCTACTGTTGCCATTAGAGCTGTCATAGTACCAAGTTATGACAATTACATTCACAAATACATCCTAGAAAAAGTGCTTTGAAGGTGCATGACTTCCCAAAGAGAATATTTCAAAGGTGACCATAGTAATAATCAGCAATGAGGTACATAGTATTTATTCTAAAATGAGTCTGTGAACTTAATTATTTGATCTTGTAGGATTCAATTTGGATAGTATTCTAGAAAATGCACATTAATCTACAGCAACAAAGAGAAGATCAGTGGATGCCTGGGGATAGGGGAAGGACTGGAGGATACAGGGAAGCACAAAGGAACTTTTGGAGGTAATTATGTGTTTATTAAATTTAGATTGGTGATAGTTTCACAAGTGTATATATATGTATGTATATGCTATAATTTATTATATACTTTAACAGGTACACCATATTATACGTCAATTGTACTTCAATAAAGCTGTTTAAAAAAAATTAAGAGTTAAGAGGAACCAATCAATTTTTAAACCTCCAAATGAAACAGATTCCCTATATATCTTTTTTGTGGGAGTTACCCAACTTCCTTACAATATAGACAACGTTTTATTTCCTAGAGCAGGTGTCCTCAAACTATGGCCTGTGGACCACATGCGGCCCACCGAGAACATTTATCCAGCCCGCCAGGTGTTTTTGCTGCCACTGCCTGTCCTGCTTAGCAGCCGACTCATCCTGGGTCCCACAGTCTGGCCCTTCAACAGTCTGAGGGACAGTGAACTGGCCCCATTTAAAAAGTTTGAGGACCCCTGTCCTAGAGTGATCCATGTCTACCATAAGCCTGTTTATTCTTATTAAAATATATTTCCTATAACTTTCACCCAAGAATCCTAAAGGTTGTGGTTTGGCTTTAGGATTTTGCCTCATTTGTGTGACAGTCCTTTAGTTTTGGGGGCACCATTATCCACTCCTCCCTTATTTCCTTTGGGATTTTCCTCCTGTGGGCTAATATTTCTACACCTCCCAAATCATTTCATCCACCACCACCACCTCCCCGCCATGGGGGTGTTACAAATCTCCTTAACATCTTTGTTGCTTCACTGGAAATGGATTTCAGTTTGCATACATTCTCTCTCATAGTGCAATATGCTGAACTGAACACAATGCTTCACGGACAGTCTGAGTAGAACTAAGGAAAGCAGGACCAACTATCCACTCACCTCATTCTAGCCTTTCTTCTAATAGTACAAACTAGGAGCATATTAGCTTTTCTGGCAGCCACATTATATTGCTGACTCAAATTAAGTATATAAGCCATCCTAAGTCTCTTCACACATACTTCAAAGACACTTCCCCTTCTATCTAATTCTTCCTCCAATGTATTTTTAAAATGTTAAAACTTGGGCAGCACCTGTGGCTCAGTGAGTAGGGTGCCGGCCCCACATACCGAGGGTGGCAGGTTCGAACACAGCCAAAT